GTAGCTCTTCTCTGATTGGATGACTTTCACCGACTTCTCTAGGGTCGGAATATTCGCCAAACAAAGTAAAACATAAGAAATTCAGATCACTTGTCAAGAGGCCCTCGCTCGCGCTCGGTTTCTGTGACTTGCTTCGCTCGCCAGAATTTACGGACTCCAACAACGCGAGGGCCTTTGACAAGAGGCTATGTCACACATGGCTGAAAAGACAATATTCTAATTATTAATTTAACATATTTCCCACATGCCTATAACAATGAAACTACACAGAATTGTAGTTAAAGGTATGCTCTAAAGATATGTGAAATAAAAATTTAAAAATATTGTTCAGTTTTTTTTAAAATAAATTTACGAAAATTGCTATTTCTACCAACTGACTGCTGTTTTGTGTGTGTATGTACATGGGGCGGACTGTGTGCACAGGCAGGTGATGATGATCACCCTACTTTTACCAACTCTGGCACACAAATTATAGATTACTATAGATTAGAGTACTACTATAGAGTACTAAATTTGAAAAATTGTTTGATGCACTATTTCCAATACAATCCCCATATAAAGTTTATAATTTACACGTAAATTGTGTCGGTTAATACCACGAGAGATTTATATTTATTACTTTGAATTATCTTCTGGTTCGTATATCTCGTTCAAAGCCTCTCTCGTTTCTTCGAATGAGAAGACGGGCACTCGTTGTTCGGACGGATTAGGGCTGAACTACACCTTACCAATGTTTATCGAATGTAAGATGAAACTGCATCCTAATGGCAGCATGGTACAGACTATTCCAAAGCTCATCCCATATTCATCTGCGGAAGCTGCTTGTCCAAGAAGGAAGAGTAAACTGGGGATCCCACCCGGACACAGAGTGTGCAAATTTCCAGGTAAGTCGTTATTTGCCTGCTATAAAGATGATAACGCATATAATCTGTTCTCCTGTTCAATTCTTTAGAAAATGTAATAGTGTAAATCCTTGCCAAAAGTGTCATAAGATTCGATATATAATAATTATGTTGGAGACCATTTTAAAGACACTGGCAACAAAGGTGGAGAGTCTATCCAAAAGCAGTCGGGTTTTATAGCCAGAGGAGCAGCCGAAAGCCCCCCCCCCCTCCCCCCAACAAGATGGTTTGACTTCATCCAGTCCGTGACACACCTTCGCCAAGAAAAGGCAGTAATGTCATTGGACATCACAAAACACGAAAGACTGTCAAAAGCTTAACAACTTTTGTTTTTGTTTTAATTCCTGAGGTGAGGGTGTTGTTAACTTTACTAATCCCTAGTCGAACAGGTGTAGATGGTTACATAATCCTTTACAATGAGTGCTACATAACATGTTCCGGCGACGATCGATCTACGATTTCTCTAAGTTCAACCAGGGAGTTGGGATTTCCCGGTTCAACCTACTGTAGTATACATCCCCATGCATGTACCTAACCCTAACCCTAACCCTAAACCTCACAAAAAACCTTATTGCGACACACGCCATAATAGCACAACTTTGGCAAAAGGAAAACTGGAGCAAATATTTGATAATCAAATTGCAGGGTCCGGTACGGGATAAATTCGAGAACCAGCAGAATTTCAGAATGGCATAATTATTCGTTCATGTCATTACAAAAAGATATTTGACAATAACTTGTACATAAACACGGCTGCGATACCTTATAGTTAACCTTACAAGTAATATACAACAAATTCTTGAACATGTTTAGGCTAATTTCGGTCAGCGCGCCGAGCCGCTACCCGACTTAAGCCATTGCATTAGAGCAATTTGGAGTTATTAGTATTAAAATCTAGTAGCGTGAAGTAAAAACATTATTTTTGTAGTAGATTTTGGTCATCGGGTACTTGGATGTTTTGTTTATGATTTTTTTATTCAGGAGCATGTCACTGTTCACAACACTTTCTGTCGACAAAGTTCGGCACGAGGGCTTGAAGTGTAGATATTGTTGTGATGTTCGGCTCTAGGGGTTTCTGACAACGCATTTCCGGCGGACATTTTTGTCATTTTGTGCATGTGTGTTTTTAATGCACAAAATTGCTATTCTACTTTGAAAAGTTTTGATGCATGGAGAATGCAAGATGAAATCGTCCTAACGGATTATTTTGTTTTTGGGAGGGGGCCCAGTGTGTGCTAAACCAGACGGTTTACAGTTATGTTTGAAGCGATAAAAACCTATGCATTCGATGGAGATACTCTTTTTATGACGTTCTGAAACCAGGCGATCAATAAATAATTCAGTTTATTTTATTCATATATTTGCAGTTTTATTTTACAGGGTAGCATTGTCAGTTACAAAACTGCTTTCTTCAATGGCTCTTTTGGCCTAGATTAAAATGTATACAATATTGAAATGAAAGAAATATCAATTGCTAAATTTCTATTCAAGTGTAGTTTCCTAAAAACGTTTGAAGTCGATCATAGTTGAAAAGCAATTTGTTAATCAGACAACGTTGATTATAAAAACTATGTCGGAAGGCATTACAACCAATATCAAAATAATGTATTATTTTGTGGGGATGTGAGCGAATAATCGGTTCAGGTTACTGTACTTCCATATCTTGATTGGTCTGCCTGCCTATTCACAAATAATATAATGTATCCCGTCCTCCAGCATGATATCAAGAACGAGCAACACTTTAATATATTAAATTCATTTGCTGATGTTTAGTACGTTTAGCATGTGGTTGTCTTAGCAACACAACATGGCGAACAGATCACATCGGCAGAAAGATGATGATACGCTCCAGTGATTCGAAACTTAATCTTATTGTTGGATTATTAATCAGCCAAGTAGTCTGTTTACCATC